TGAATGCATGGATTGCTTTATGTATGTATCTAGAGTTATAGGAATGTTATATTTTCCAAACACATTCAGCATATTGTTGCCTTGTTCATAGTTGATGTTACTGAGTGTTGGCTTTTTTTTTCTTTTTTATTAATAGTGTTATTATTTTTAACCTGTTTTATATGTGGATGAGGATTTTGTTTTTGTTATTATCAGCGAGTGTTTTACAGACAAAATTTGGTAGGTTTCCATGTATCTGAATCACACCCCTCGCTGGTCTTTTGAACAGGAGTAGAGGTTCATCCCCTGTTTGCTGTTTTGGATTGTGATTCCAGGTCCTTCTAGTCTTTTCAGTCTATTTTACTCCCAGTTGCCTCCTTCCGTCTTAGTAACATTATCTCCTTGTTTAGGGTGAAAAGAAAGAAAGAAAATAACGAACTGATGAAAAGAAAGAAAGAAGGAAAATAGAACGGACAGATTAAAAAAAAAGAACTGGCGAATGAACGAAGGAAAAGAAGGAAAGAACAGAAAGGAAAATGATAAGGGAAAATTGTCATACGTCGTAAAAGAATGACCCCAAAATTTAATAAATAATTTGACTCTAAACAAGGCAATAAAACCACTAAGATGAAAGGGGTTATTGAGTGTGAAAAAATATGAAAATAAAAGGAAAACAATATAAAAAAAAAGAGAACAATGTCAGAAAAGGAATTCAGAGCGCAGAAGGTAATGATTAACGTTGCATTTAATTTTTTTTCTCCAAGGTTGATTGAAAATTAAAAAAAAAATGGACGGGAGCTCCATAAGCAATCAAGGAGAGAGAAAAAAACTATTATCATAGAACTTATGGTTACATCTAGCAATTTCAAATGTAAAATGCTGAGATCTAACTGCCAATATAGTACTACACTAAAATTTGTAAAGTCTAGTTACCAAATAGGAAAGCACATCGAAACAATTACAAGATAACAATGAATATCAGCGAAAAAAACACGGGAAACTTAAAAATAAAACGAGAAAAACAGAACAAAAATATCCAACATGTAACAAATAAAACTTTCTATTTGAAATTTCATTAATTTTTCTTGTCCTCTGGGTTTTCAAGTTTCCAGAAAACAGTTTGAAGTGGCATCTATAGAAGGATGAACGTAAAAAGTCGAAAATAAATTGAAAAATTCCGACAAAGCCAGTGAAGTGAATAACTGCTTGACTAAGTTTGACTGCCGAGTGCCAATGTGTGAAAGGGAAGCATTGAAAAAATACGCTCGAAATTCTGATGGAAATTCAATGTAATTGATGCGTGAATGAATGCTATTTCATTTACAATTGAATTATATGCACATCACACTTTCAACTCAACCAGCCGATAAATATCAATTACAGAAACCCAAGGATACGTGGGCCACAATGCATAGAGATACGTGTTTTTAACAATCCATAGATATAGACATTTTATTACATTTTGTTTATGTATGCGATTATATGCAAATATATATATATCACAGTATCTATTAACTAATTCTCTCTTCTTATCTTTCCATGTCCCTGTCCTTCTCTCTCTCTCGCTCTACTCTCTCTCTCTCTCTCTCCCTCTTTCTAATTCTCTCTTCTCGCATATGTGTGCATGTACAGATATATATATATAAGAGTAAATCCTTTCTTGAGAAACTGCAGAAAGGCAAGCGCAGAAATCTTACTTAGTAACCTGCCTATATACACAGAATTGACGTGGGAGGAATTTAAATAACTTTGAGCTTTCAAGTTTTGAATTGATCAAGGCTCTAAAATATTCTAAAATCTTCTAAAAAGGACACTAAGTAACGCAATTATTCAGCATGTTGTTGTTATGTATTTAATTAATATCCATTAATTTTTATTTTATATATATATATATATATATATATATATATATATATATATGAAGAAACAGAGTCTTAAGGTGTACTATATTTATGGGATAAATTGTTCAATATCAGAAATAGAGCGTGTGTAAAAAAAAAAGTGAACACTGAAGTCAACACATAGAGGCGACAGTCTGTTTCATGCTAGACACAATCGTCAGGTCTGAAAGAGACTGTCACCTTTAAGTGTTGACATCAATGTTCACTTTTGTATTTACCCACGCTCTATTTCTGATATTGAGCAATTTATCCCATAAATATAACACACCTTAAGACTCTATTTTTTCATATATATATATATATATATATATATAGCGGATGTCAGATTTCATTGAAAAATACATCCCTACCTCTACCAAAACGTAACTAATAACTGATACATCAAAATACAGCGATAATGAACATGCAAACACTCCTTGTCTGGTTGAATTGGATTTCTCTGTATCCTTGGAAACGTGAATTGTGATTTTAGCTGTGCCTTTAAAACCCAGTAATTTTAAAAGTTACTCCAAAATTCGCTTGAGGATGGAATGGAACTAATGTCTTTAATTTAATTACAAAATTAAACTCGGAGCTTTCAGCTTCCATTTTTGAAACATGGTTAGAACTGTGTAGCGAAAAACAATAATTTAAATCAATTAATTTATAATATTAATGCTCTGTAAATTTACATTGAGCACTATTTTGTAAAAATAAAAATATCTATAAGAACACCGGATTATATATCTTACTGTTCTTTCTTTATATATATATATATATATATATATATATATATATATATATTATGTATTTATGAGACTTTTGACTAAATGGAACAAGAATGGAAAGATTTTAAAGTTGGAATCTTTGGACACGCCTGTGTCCTTTTTCAACGATGAAAACAACAAGGAAAGAAGTGGGACTCACTCTTCCGGGGAATGATGTTGTAGATTACAAGACAACCTGTGGAAACTAGTTTCCACAGGGAGCCCGCTAATATATATCATATACATTTATTAAAAATGATATAATCATACATATAATAAAATTATATACAGTAATCTATTTATATATATAAATATATACAAACACACATAAATATATATATATATATATATATATATATATATATATATATATATATATATATATATATATATATATGACCATTTTGTTATATTATATTCCTCAAATTTCGTTAACAGGACTTTTAGACTTATATATTATAAGAAGCATATGTGGACCATATTTCGTTTGAATTAATATATATATATATATATATATATATATATATATATATATATATATGTGTGTGTGTGTGTGTGTGTGTGTCTGTCTGGTTTTTATTCAAATATTCGTTAGAATGGCATAGAACGATAGGATAGTGCTTTTCTATCTCTTTCTAATCATATATATATATATATATATGTGTGTGTGTGTGTGTGTGTGTGTGTGTGTGCTTTTATAATCTTTATAAGATGATTATATAGTGAAACATTTATATAAAATTCAATCGATAATAAGGATTTAGTTTGAAGATTAATTGTTTTCCTGTAGTCTACAAATACACACACACACACATACATACATACATACACACAAACACACAGACACACACATATATATATATATATATATATATATATATATATATATATATTGGATGTGGCAGAAATTGTTCCTAGAAATACCTCCCAAATAATTGTAAGCCTGTAGATATATGAACACAACTTTGGTATTAATATCATCCTATTATGTGTGAAGTATTTATGATCGGGATTATAAATTCTTGATTTCAGGTACATATTTGAAAGCATATTTTACAATGTCTAACTACTTTCCTCTATCGTTAGCCATTATTTATTAAAGATTTTTTTTGTTTTTTGATATGTCACATTTTATTTTCAAATAAAGCGTTCCGCGCATTCACGTGATACACCTATTATATTAAGTTCTAAATTTAATCTCTTACCTCCTAGAATTAGACTAATATTTTTTGATGTAATTCTTTTTAATATGAACAAATATAGTAAACTCTTGGCGAAGAAAGCTTCATAGTTTTCTCCATTGACCTAATATGATCATAAATTATATATTTCAGGATCAAGGGTCCCCTAACCGATTCAGATGGTTGGAGTGTCATATGTGTCGTTGCTGTAGAAATATCGTACCGAATAGATATCTGTATTTTTTCTCTATTGAACCCAATACAGAATTGTTCTATTATTGTTTTTGCGATGAGCGGTGATATTATGTCTGATCCTTGTCTTAGGTTTATTGTCAAGAATTCTTAGATTAGCGCATCTCAAGTATATTATTGTTCGTGAATCATTTTCTCTCTTAATCGAAACTACGGTCAGATATATTATGTTGTTATGGAGCATATGTTTGCAATGCGGGTGTGGTCTTTTTTTTTTTTAAGTTTCTGGATATATAAATATCAGCATCCTACCGGAGGTCAATTATGAAATGACTCCAAATGCTAACCTTATAATTACTAACTCAGGTAATATAAAAAGTTTTCTGGGTTGATTTATAGTATCAGCTGAGGTTTTAACATTGTCTTCAGACTAAAAGGATCACTGCAAATAAACACGTTCTTCTTCTGCGCACACAGATGAAAATGTATCACACAATACTAAACATGAAATAACTTGTAGTCGGCGTAAAAAGAACACAGTCAATGTGTTACGTGCATCAAAACATTTTATTTCGTTATTGTTGACATCTTTCTGACTATAAGATACGTTATCACCATTTGCGCAAGATGTTCCCAAAATGTAAACAACATTTACTGAATCGAAATAAATTGGCTTGTTTACAATTTTGATGAGAAAATATTTTTACTGCCTCTGTGTGTCATGATTGATTATTTGATCTGGTTTTTTTTTACGGTTTATCAACATTTATCAGGTTATTTAAAGCCAGAAATATTTTGTATGGTAATATTGATAATAATAATTTATTAATACGAGTCCTACTATTTAACCTATAGTTGGAGGAGAGGAGGTGGATTCATACTTTTTCCCAATGCTAAAATGAACCTAAGTGAATATAAAGAGGCTAACTGGAATCCGAACTCGGCTGTCCGATTTCCAATTCTCAGCCGTTATTCATTACACCATCCGCACATCCAAACTTACCTGGCATTTCCAAACGCTCACCCATCTTAGTACTGACCAGGTTCAACGTTGCTTAACTTCGTTGATGGCAGGGGAACCGTTGTTTCAACAACATATGACCGCAAGCCTTGTATGCTAGGAAAGAGATAAAGAATATAACATCGACTAAAAAATTGCGAATTCTAATCTCGATCGTTTTCAATCACATATTTATTCTCTTAATCTGTCATTCCTTGCACGCTCACTTTAATATTTTTCTAGGCTGTTTTTTTCCTGGCACAAAACGATGACAGCGAAAAGAGTGTGTGTATTTATCTTCTGGTAATCTGTTCGATCTAAGTTATCTGCCCTTGTTCGAATTCTCACCTCTATCATGACATACTGTCATATTGATAGAAAAAAAACTATAGCTTCTTCAAAATATTCTTTCTCTCTAGAAAAGCTTTCCAGTTTGTCCCCGAGCGAGATTAGTTATATTTTTCATGTACATTGATCGTGAGACAAATTTAATTAGTTACACTTCAAGCCAAAAAGACAAGATTCAATTCTCAGTAATTTTGAAGTGGATTCGAAAATGAACGAATCAAACAGAAGATCTCATCTGACAAGGAATATTGTACAAAGTTTTATCCCTATTTTGAACCAGATGGAATTATTTCACTGGAATTTATTCATTGCTTCTTCTGTAACAAATCTGATAAATTTCCTTGCTAAAATTATTTAAAAAAACAATATTTGAAGAAAATTAATTTCAATTTTCAGAATTTAATTCTAAGATTCACCCAATACTCGGTTCGAGAGCCAGAGATTTTAATCTCTTCAAGCATAGGGTAAACCGTTATCTATCCTACATATTCTCACAGTCTGAACTCACTTCGTCATATGTTCATACAACCTCATTCTGTAATATTCTAGATTGAGTGACTCTTGGGTCTTGTACTGAGTGAATTTTTGGTAAAATGAAACCCTCGATTTGCATACTGAAGTAAATGAGATAATTATTCCTTATAACAATAGGTATTATAAGCTGAATCATTTTCATTTAGATATAGGTATATTATGTAAATTATGTATGTCTTATTGGTTGGCCAACTCGTTACGTTCTCTTTGTTAGAGTTTATATAAACTTTGTTGTCAGACTTTATTAGACTTTATGTAAACCAGTGCTTCCCAACCAATTTTGGGCTATGCCCCAGTTTGGTATTTCTAAAAATCTGGTGCCGCACTGTTATATTTAATTCTTAAATATTCAAAATTTTACTGCAATTCACGTGAAGGAAGCTTAAAAGGCCATTAACTTGGTCTCTAAACAAGTCTCCAAAGACCATGGCGTCCATGAAATAGAAAAATTAAAAAACAAAAAAGACAGCTAAAAATATATATATAGTTTCAAAACATATAGAGAACTGAAAGGCAGAAATATAAAATATATGAATGAAAGTTTATTCTGTAATATATTTTGATCATTTTAATCATGAAATAATAATGTAAAATAAAATTTGAGCTCACGTTGATATAGTAAACAAATGGGTGCACATCCTACGTATGCTCCACCAAAATATTACCCTGCCCCACCGATGGGGCATGCGCCTAACGTTAGGAAGCAGTGAAGTAGACGTTGTTGTTAGACTTTATTATGCAAGATTTGTTATTAGACTTTATTATGTAAGCTTTCTTATTAGGCGTTATTATGTAAGCTTTCTTATTAGACATTATTATGCCATATTTTTTATTAGGCGTTATTATGTAAGCTTTGTTATTAGACATTATTATGTCATCTTTTTATTAGACTTTATTATGCAAGCTTTGTTATTAAATATTATTATTTAATTTATGTTATTAGACTTTATTATGCAAGCTTTCTTATTAGGCATTATTATGTAAGCTTTGTTATTAGACTTTATTATGCAAGAATTGTTATTAGACTTTATTATGATAGCTTTGTTATTAAACTTTATTATGTAAGTTTTGTTATTAGACTTTGTTATTAGACATTACGCAGACTGTTATTAGAATTTTTTATGCAAAGTTTGTTATGAAAAATTTATCTAGACGTTGTTATTAGACTTTGTAATGTAGATCTTGTTATGTAGATTTGTTAGATAAAAGTTGTTATTGGAATTTGATATTGGACTTTGTGAAATTTATGTAAACATTATTATTAGACTTTTGTATGTAGACGTTATTAATATACTTCTTTATGTAAAGCTTACTATTAGACATTATTATGTAAATCTTATTATGTAGTCTTTATTACTAGACTTTGTTATGTAGACTTTGCTATTAAACTTTATGTAGACTTTATTATTAGTCTGTTATTATACGTGGTAATATAGACTTTGTCAAGCAGACTTTACTATTAGACTTTGTGATGTAAACTTTGTTAATAGAATTTATGTGGACTTTGTTTTTAGACTTTGTACAGATTTTATTATTAGATTTTATATAAAAGTATGTAGACTTTGTTATCTAGACTTTTATATATCAGTTAAATATAAATAACTATAAGAATCTGATATTGTATTTTAAAAGACGCATTAATTTTATTTTTTACCACCAGGTAAAAAATGTATTTTTTTTTTTCCCTGACAACGCAAGGTTTTAAGTTTACTGTTTTTCAGTTTTT